TTGGGGGGTCTGGGGTCACCTTGAGGGGGATTTGGGGTTCCTTGTGGTTATGGGGTCACCCTGAGGGGGGATTTGGGGTTATGGGGTGACCCCAGAGTGATTTGAGGCCTTTTGGGGGTTATGGGGTGACCTTGAGGGGGATTTTTGGGTTCCTTGGGTTTATGGGGTGACCCTGAGGGAGAATTTGGGGGGTCTGGGGTCACCTTGGGGGGGCTTTTGGGGGTCTGGGGTGACCCTGAGGGGGGATTTGGGGTTATGGGGTGACCCCAGAGTGATTTGAGAGGTTCTGATGGTTCTGGGGTCACCCTGAGGGAGGATTTTGGGGTTTCTTGGGGTTATTGAGTGGCTATGGGATGATTTGAGGCCTTTTTGGGGGTTATGGGGTGACCTTGAAGGGGGATTTTGGGGTTCCCTGGGTTTATGGGGTGACCCTGAGGGGGGATTTTGGGGTTATGGGGTGGCCATGAGGTTGATTTGGGGCCTTTTTGGGGGGTTTTAGGGTGACCCTGAGGGGAGTGTCCCTGTCACCGTGTCCCCTGTGTCCCCAGGTGCCACGCGCAGTTCCAGCTGTATTTAGGGCTGGATTTGGGGGTGTCCCCATGTCCCCGTGTCCCTGTCACCGTGTCCCCTGTGTGTCCCCAGGTGCCACGCGCAGTTTCGGCTCGGCCAAGGCGCGTTACGCCTTCAGCGCGCGGGACAGGACAGAGCTGTCACTGCGGGAAGGGGACATCGTGCGTGTCCTCAGCAAGAGGGGACAGCCCGGCTGGTGGAAGGGAGAGATCTACGGCCGGGTATGGCACTGTCCCCACCCTGGGACACTGGGGACACTGGGGACATTGGGGACATTGGGGACATTGGGGACACTGGGGACATTGGGGGCACTGGGGGCATTGGGGACATTGGGGACACTGGGGACACTGGGGACATTGGGGGCACTGGGGACAGTGATACCAGCAGAGGGACAGAATCATGGTGTGAGAGGACACTGGGGACACTGATAGGACACTGATGACACACTGGGGACACTGAGGGGACATTTGGGGACACTTGGGGACAGCGGTACCTGCAGAGGGGCAGGGTCATGGCGTGGTCCTGCACCCCCCGGAGCAGCCCCCGCTGCGCCAGCGCTGCCACCACCCGGGCACGGGCCTCGAACCGGGGGACACCCTGGGGACAATGGGGACACTGAGGGGACAGCGGGGACACCCTGGGGACAGCGGGGACGTCCCCCCGGTGTCCCCCCGGTGTCCCTGACCCACTGTCCCTGTCCCCAGGTCGGGTGCCCCCCATGTCCCCCCGGTGTCCCCAATGTCCCCCCGGTGTCCCTGACGCGCTGTCCCTGTCCCCAGGTCGGCTGGTTTCCCGCCAATTACGTCGACGAGGATTTTTCCGATTATTGCTGATTTTGGGGCCACCCCGATGTCCCCACGGTGTCCCCACGGTGTCCCCACGGTGTCCCCAGGATGTCCCCAAATAATCCCGACCATTCCCGGTTCAATAAAAGCGGGCTGGGCTCCAGGAATTGGACGGATTTGGACGGGAATTGATCCAAAAAAAACTTCCAGGAAAAGGCCGGGAACGCCCGGCCAGGGGGCAAAGGTCACGGCCGGAGAGATTTACGGGATTCGGGGATTCGGGGATTTACGGGATTCGGGGATTTACGGGATTGGGGATTTACGGGATTGGGGATTTACGGGATTGGGGATTTACGGGATTTGGGGATTTACGGGATTCGGGGATTTACGGGATTGGGGGATTTACGGGATTTGGGGATTTGGGGGATTCGGGGATTTACGGGATTCGGGGATTTACGGGATTCGGGGATTTACCGGATTGGGGATTTACAGGATTTGGGGATTTACGGGATTGACAGGATTTATGGGATTCTGGGATTTACGGGATTTTGGGGGTTTTGGGATTTATGGAATTTTGGGAATTGCAGGATTTTGGGATTTACGGGATTTTGGGGATTTGGGGTTTACGGGATTCGGGGATTTACGGGATTTGGGGATTTACAGGATTTGGGATTTATGGGGTTTTGGGGATTTGGGGATTTACGGGATTCGGGGATTTACCGGATTTGGGGATTTACGGGATTCGGGGATTTACGGGATTCGGGGATTTACGGGATTCGGGGATTTACGGGATTCGGGGATTTACGGGATTCGGGGATTTACGGGATTCGGGGATTTGGGGTTTACGGGATTTAGGATTTACGGGATTGGGGATTTTGGGGATTTACGGGATTCGGGGATTTGGGGTTTACGGGATTTGGGGATTTACGGAATTTGGGGATTTACGGGATTCGGGGATTTACGGGATTTTGGGATTTACGGGAATTGGGGATTTACGGGATTCGGGGATTTACGGGATTGGGGATTTACGGGATTCGGGGATTTACGGGATTGGGGATTTACGGGATTCTGGGATTTACGGGATTGGGGATTTACGGGATTTGGGGTTTATGGGATTCTGGGATTTACGGGATTCGGGGATTTACAGGATTTTGGGATTTATGGGGTTTTGGGAATTTGGGGATTTACGGGATTCGGGGATTTACGGGATTCGGGGATTTACCAGATTTGGGGATTTACCAGATTTGGGGATTTACGGGATTGGGGATTTACGGGATTCGGGGATTTACGGGATTGGGGATTTACGGGATTCGGGGATTTACGGGATTGGGGATTTACGGGATTCTGGGATTTACGGGATTGGGGATTTACGGGATTTGGGGTTTATGGGATTCTGGGATTTACGGGATTCGGGGATTTACAGGATTTTGGGATTTATGGGGTTTTGGGAATTTGGGGATTTACAGGATTTGGGGAATTGCGGGATTTTGGGATTTACGGAATTGTGGGGATTTACAGGATTTTGGGATTTATGGGGTTTTGGGGATTTACGGGATTTTGGGGATTTACATGATTTGGGGGATTTTGGGATTTGCGGGATTTTGGGGGTTTTGGGATTTATGGAATTTTGGGAATTGCAGGATTTTTGGGATTTGGGGATTTACGGGATTTACGGGATTTGGGGATTTATGGGATTTTGGGGGTTTTGGGATTTTGGGATTTGGGGATTCGGGGATTTACCGGATTTGGGATTTATGGGATTTTGGGATTTACGGGATTTACGGGATTTTGGGAAGGGAATTCCAGGTTTGGGGGATTTTGGGATTTACAGGATTTACGGGATTTGGGATTTACGGGATTTGGGGAATTACGGGATTCGGGGATTTACCGGATTTTGGGGATTTATGGGATTTACAGGATTTACGGGATTTTGGGATTTACAGGATTTTGGGATTTACGGGATTTGGGGATTTTGGGATTTACGGGATTTTGGGGATTTTTGGATTTACAGGATTTGGGGGATTGTGGGGTTTGGGGAAATCTGAGATTTTGGAAGGGAATCCCAGGATTTTGGGGATTATGGGGTTTTGGGGATTACGGGACCAATCCCAGTACACACACGAGTTTATTTCCCCAATCTCCAGAATATTCCTGGGATTTTGGGGTGAATTCTGGGGATTTTGGGGTGAATTCTGGGGATTTGGGGTCAGGGGTGTCCCTCACGCAGATGATCCCAGTTCAATCCCAGTTCAATCCCAGTTCAATCCCAGTACACACACACATTTATTGTTATTTTTTCCCAAATTCCCCGGATTTTGGGGTGAATTCCTGGGATTTTGGGGTGAATTCTGGGGATTTCGGGGTGAATTCTGGGGATTTGGGGTCAGGAGTGTCCCTCACAGGGATGATCCCAGTTCAATCCCAGTTCAATCCCAGTTCAATCCCAGTTCACACACACATTTATTTTTATTTTTCACCAAATTCCCTGGATTTTGGGGTGAATTCCGGGGATTTTGGGGTGAATTCCGGGGATTTGGGGTCAGGGGGATCCCTCGCAGACCCAGGGCAGGGACTTCCCGCAGGGATAATCGGCCCAGAGCCCGTCGGGCCCCACGGCCGCGCAGTTCTCCTGGGTGCCCCCGTTGGGCTCGTCCCGGTGCCACCAACTGGCCCCAAAAAGGAAAAAAACGGGATCAGGGTCACAAAAATCCCAAAAAGCCCCAAAATCCCAGCCCACATTCCATCCAAATCACAAAAAATCCCGAAAATCCCACACAAATCTTCACCAAATTCTCCCCAAATCACAAAAATCCAAGCCCGGAATGGTCCAAATTCCCCGAGTCGACCAGATCCCATAAATCCCATAAATAATCTCATAAATCCCCTAAATAATCCCAAAAATCCCGCCTCAAATCCCACCCAAATCCCATAAATCCTGAAAATCTCCACCAAATTTTCCCCAAATCACAAAAATTCACCCCAGAAATTGTCCCGATTCCCCAAGTCACTGAAATCCCAAAAATCCCATAAATAATCCCATAAATAATCCCATAAATTACCCCAAAAATCCCATAAATAATCCCATAAATAATCCCATAAATAATCCCATAAATAATCCCATAAATAATCCCATAAATAATCCCATAAATAATCCCATAAATAATCCCATAAATAATCCCATAAATAATCCCATAAATAATCCCATAAATAATCCCATAAATAATCCCATAAATAATCCCATAAATAATCCCATAAATAATCCCATAAATAATCCCATAAATAATCCCATAAATAATCCCATAAATAATCCCATAAATAATCCCATAAATAATCCCATAAATAATCCCATAAATAATCCCATAAATAATCCCATAAATAATCCCATAAATAATCCCATAAATAATCCCATAAATAATCCCATAAATAATCCCATAAATAATCCCATAAATAATCCCATAAATTACCCCAAAAATCCCATAAATAACCCCAAAAATCCCATTAAAACCCCATAAATCACCCCAAAAATCCCATAAATTACCCCAAAAATCCCATAAAAACCCCATAAAAACCCCAAATCCCCACAAACAGCCCCAAACCTGCTCTCTGGGCCCAGGGCGGTGCCAGTATGGACCAGTATAAACCAGTACAGACCAGTACGGACCAGTACGGACCAGTATAAACCAGTATGGACCAGTACGGACCAGTATAAACCAGTATGGGGCAGTATGGACCAGTATGGACCAGTATAAACCAGTACGGACCAGTATGGACCAGTACGGACCAGTATGGACCAGTATGGACCAGTATAAACCAGTATAAACCAGTACGGACCAGTATGGACCAGTATGGACCAGTATGGGTCCATGGGAAATTGGGGAATTTTGGGACATTTATGGGATTTTTGATGTTTTCAGGATTTATGGGATTTAGGGGAAATTTGGATTTTTTTGGGGGGATTTAGGGACCTGTGGGGATTTCAGAATTCTTTGGGATTTTGGGACATTTATGGGATTTTTGATATTTATAGGATTTTTGATATTTACCGAATTTCTGGAATTTAGGGGAAATTTGGGATTTTTTGGGAGATTTATGGGGAACCAGTATAAACCAATATGGACCGGTATAAACCAATATGGACCAGTATGGACCAGTATAAACCAGTACAGACCAGTATGGACCAGTACGGACCAGTATGGACCAGTACAGACCAGTATGGACCAGTATAATGGGAATTTATGGGATTCAGGGACATTTATGGGATTTTTTGGGATTTACGGGATTTATGGGATTTTTGATATTTACCGAATTTCTGGAATTTAGGGGAAATTTGGGATTTTTTGGGAGATTTATGGGGACTGTGGGGATTTCAGAATTCTTTGGGATTTTGGGGCATTTATGGGATTTTTGATATTTACAGAATTTTTGGGATTTAGGGGAATTTGGGATTTTTTTGGGGTTTCTGGGATTTGGGGCCTCACCTTCTCCTCGGCGTCGTCGACCTCGAGCAGCTGCGAGCCCAAGGCCCAGCAGAAAGTTCTGGAATTCTCCCAGGAAGCGGCGAAGTCGGAGAAGAAATAACAGGAATTGCGGAAAAAAACCCAACCGCGGGGGCAGGGCAGGAAATCTGGGGAAATCCCAAAGGTTTGGGGTCAGGAGGGGGAAATCCCAAAGGTTTGGGGTCAAAATGGGGAAATCCCAAAGGTTTGGGGTCAAAAGGGCAAAATCCCAAAAGATTTGGGGTCAAAATGGGAAAATCCCAAAAGATTTGGGGAAAATCCCAAAGGTTTGGGATCAAAAGGGGGAAAATCCCAAAGATTTGGGGTCAGGAGGGGGAAAATCCCAAAGATTTGGGGTCAGGAGGGGGAAAATCCCAAAGATTTGGGGTCAAAATGGGAAAATTCCAAAGATTTGGGGTCAAAAGGGGGAAATCCCAAAAGATTTGGGGTCAGGAGGGGGAAATCCCAAAAGAAAACTTGGGGGAAATGTGGCAAAATGTGGCAAAATTAAAAAAAAAAAAATTGGGAAAATCTTGGGAAAACCGGGAGGAAATCCAGAAAAATTGGGAAAATTTTGAGAAAATTTGGAAAAATTGGGGAAAATTGAGGGAAAATGAGGAAAATTGGGGAAAAAATGAGGAAAATTGGGGAAAATAATTTGCAAAATATTTGGAAAATTTGGGAAAAAATTGAGGAAAATTGAGGCAAATTGGGAAAAAATGGGGGGAAATTGGGGAAAATTGGGAAAAAAAGAGGAAAATTGGGGAAAATTGAAGACAATTGGGGGAAAATTGGGAAAAAATTGAGGAAAATTGGGGAAAATTGGGGAAAAATGTAGAAAAAGGGCGAAAAATTGGGAAAAAATGAGGAAAATTGGGGGAACGGGGTCAGGAGGGGGAAATCCCAAAGGTTTGGGGTCAAAATGGGGAAATCCCAAAGGTTTGGGGTCAAAAGGGCAAAATCCCAAAAGATTTGGGGTCAAAAGGGCAAAATCCCAAAGGTTTGGGGAAAATCCCAAAGGTTTGGGGTCAAAATCCCAAAGGTTTGGGGTCAAAATGGGAAAATTCCAAAGATTTGGGGTCAAAAGGGGGAAATCCCAAAAGATTTGGGGTCAAAATGGGAAAATCCCAAAAGATTTGGGGAAAATCCCAAAGGTTTGGGATCAAAAGGGGGAAAATCCCAAAGATTTGGGGTCAAAATGGGAAAATCCCAAAAGATTTGGGGAAAATCCCAAAGGTTTGGGGTCAAAAGGGGGAAATCCCAAAAGATTTGGGGGAAATCCCAAAGGTTTGGGGTCAGGAAGGGCAAAGTCCCAAAAGATTTGAGGAAAATCCCAAAAGATTTGGGGAAAATCCCAAAGGTTTGGGGTCAAAAGGGGAAAATCCCAAAAGATTTGGGGAAAATCCCAAAAGATTTGGGGAAAATCCCAAAGATTTGGGGAAAATCCCAAAAGATTTGGGGAAAATCCCAAAGATTTGGGGAAAATCCCAAAAGATTTGGGGAAAATCCCAAAGATTTGGGGTCAGGATTGGGAAAATCCCAAAGATTTGGGGAAAATCCCAAAGGTTTGGGGTCAGGATTGGGAAAATCCCAAAGATTTGGGGAAAATCCCAAAGGTTTGGGGTCAGGATTGGGAAAATCCCAAAGATTTGGGGAAAATCCCAAAGGTTTGGGGTCAGGATTGGGAAAATCCCAAAGATTTGGGGTCAGGAGGGGGAAAATCCCAAAGGTTTGAGGGAAATCCCAAAAGATTTGGGGGAAATCCCAAAGGTTTGGGGTCAGGAGGGGGAAATCCCAAAAGATTTGGGGGAAATCCCAAAAGAAAACTTGGGGGAAATGTGGCAAAATTTGGCAAAAAGTGGCAAAATTTGAAAAAAAAAGGGAAAATTGTGGGAAAACCCGGGGGGAAATCCAGAAAAATTGGGAAAATTTTGAGAAAATTGGGAAAATTGGGAAAATTAGAGAAAGATTGGGGAAAATTGAGGAAAATTGGGGAAAATTGGGGGGAAATGAGGAAAATTGGAGGACAATTGGGGAAAGTTGGGAAAAAATTTGAGGAAAATTGGGGAAAAATTGTGGAAAAATTGGGGAAAATTGGGAAAAAATTGAGGAAAATTGGGGGAAATTGGAGAAAATAATTAGGTAAAAATTGGGGGAAATTGGGGAAAATAATTTGCAAAAAATTGGGTAAAAATTGAGGAAAATTGGGGAAAATTGGGAAAAATTGGGGAAAATTGGGAAAAATTGGGGAAAATTGGGAAAAAATAGGAAAAAATTGAGGAAAATTGGGCAAAATTGGAGAAAATTTGGGAAAATTGGGGAAAAATTGAGGAAAATTGGGAAAAATTGGTAAAAATTGAGTAAAAATGGGAAAAATTGGGAAAAATTGGGAAAAAATGAGGAAAATTGGGGAAAATTGAGGAAAATTGAGGAAAATTGGGAAAAATAGAGGAAAATTGGGGAAAGTTGGGAAAAATTGAGGAAAATTGGGGAAAATTGAGGAAAATTGGGGGAAAACTGAGGAAAATTGGGAAAAATTGGGAAAAAATGGGAAAAACTGAGGAAAATTGGGGAAAATTTGAGGAAAATTGGCGGAAATTGGTGGAAAACTTGGAGAAAACTTGGGGAATTTCGTGCCGACTCACAGGCCCGGGAGCAGAGGTCGCGCCGGGAGCCGTGCGCCAGCCAGCGGCTCCAGTTGCCGGTGCCCGCCCAGAGCACGACGCGCTCGTGGCGCTCGTGGCCCACGTTGAAGTGCAGCGCGGTGCCGGCCAGCGCCAGCAGCGCCCCGCGGCCGCAGCCCCAGCGCTGCAGCCGCTGCTGCTCCCGGC